GCAAAGATGTAGAAGCGTGATGGATAGAATGTGTCGAAAAGACTCTTGTATCTGTTCCTGCTGCGTTCAGCTCCGCTTCAATCCTTGAACACAATGTCTGAGGGGAAAGCAGCATTGTGTGGAGAGCGAGAGGAAATAAGAAACAAGTCACGCGACTTCTGCCGAAGATCGTGTGTTACCCTAAGGTAGAAATTAATTAAGGAGAAACCGCAGAGCTCCGGTCTGTCAAGAAAAGGTTTGAAAAAGAGTAGAGGTTGCGATCTCCCGCTCCTTGACGTCTTAAGTCTAGCAGGTATCACTATGATAAGAGTATTTAACACGAATAACATTCGATAGCTGAATGACCGCTAGGGTTTGCATTCTTTGAGCTTGCTTTGTGTTCGGTCAACTCCGCGCGAGCAGACAGACTCATACGAGCGTCCGAAGACGCTCTACTTCATCTAGCGACAGAATTGTCGCGCGTGTTCTCATTGCCGCCGGTATCTTTCGATCCAGTCGGCGACACTGTCCTCAGCGCAAGAAATTAGACTAATTTCTTGACCCTATATCTAGAGCAAGTCTAACGTGCGAATATAAGGTAGCTAACTGGTCCACCATTGGTGTGGTGTCTCAGACGAAATTCACATCGAGGCTCCTATGGTTTCCGCAACGCCTTTGAAGAATCTGGTAACAAGAGGGTGAAAGCCCACCTCGTTCGAAGAGATAAGTGAGACGGCCGAGCGGTATGTATTTAAGGTGGCGTAAGAGCCAACATTCGGAAGGGAGGAGGATAAGAACTCCAAAAATGTCGAAATTGATGTAGCCTAACAGCTGATTCTATTCCTTTGGATAAAAAAGACCACCCTAATCTCAAGGGATTTGTATACTAGGCTGATGTGGCCTGGTTGTGTTTTTTTTTTTTGTAAATGATGCCAGCGTTGTTTTCATTGCTGCAGGCGGTGTCCCCCTAAGCAAGGAAGCCTGTCGGATAAACTCGCGGCTGCCAGGGAAATTCTGTTTCAGGTCGGGTGAATCTCTCTGAAAGAAGATGGCAGCATATTAGCGTCCGGGTTAAAGCGAATCGGTTGTTCGATTGCGAGCTTATAAGTAAGGGGAAAAATGGCTGGGCCTGCCACCAGAGGGTCACCACAAGCCCCTACCCTCCTATTCTAATGATTTTCCGAAGACCCTTAAAATCAGAATAAAAGA